TCCAGTATAAAATGAACTCATTTCAATTCTCCATGAATGATTGTATAATTGTGTCTCCAAGCAACCAAATTCGTGACTGGTAGTTGATTTGCATCTCTATTGATAATTTTTATTGACTTGGAATTTGAACTCTCTTGTCTCACGTGATTTACTTATTATTATTAGTTGGTAAATCTGATCTGTATTATTTTGTTTGTTAATCACTAATTCACATGTGTACCAACAGACAGAATATTGAAACCGTTTGAAATAGATACTGCACACAAGCCAGTTAGCACAATCACTTCATTCAATATAGATTGTACTAACTGAAAGATCCAACAGAATTATTATCATTATTGTTCCCTTGGGTTCATAGTAGAACGTAGGGCTTCACCTGCACGTCTCCACTTGCTTCTGTCTTCCTTCTGCCGTACTTTTTACCTGCATCCATCTTGGTCCATACTCTTTCAACTCATCCCCCTCTTCACACGATCTTCTCCATGTCACCCTTGCAGTGACGTCCCGCTCGCTGCTTCCCTTTCGGCCTGGTTCCACTGGAGCAATGGCCTGACGCGCGATGTCACCCAGCGGCCTCCTCAGCGAGTGAGTGTCCAATCCATCTCCACTTTCTCCTGCATATATGTTGGTTGGCGATTGGTTCTTGTTTTGTTTGTTTGTGCACATAGTTTGGTGCTTGTTGGTGATTCTTTCCGGCTCGGCCATCTGACCTTCAGTATAGAGCCAGCGAAGACAGTTGTTGGTTGATGAAGGTCTGCAACAGGCTGTTGGAAATATTCTTTGTGACTCGCTCGCCAAGTTTCTGATCCGTATAGAAGAAATGACTGACTTGACGTTTGTATTGAAAATCCGACGGAATTTTGTTGTTGATGCTGGCTGAGTGACGAAGATTTCCAGATTGGTTTCAGTTGGTTGATGAATGTGTTTCTCGATCGCCTTCCCGATTCTCGCTCGGTTCAACATCCTCATCCGTTTCGACTGCCTGTAGTTGAGACAATTCTCAATGCTAGATAAGTGAATGAAGTAACCTCTTTCATATTCCTGCCGTTGATGGTGATTGACACTGTATTAATTAATTATTTTTTATTATTATTTTTGATTACAGCTTAATTCCACACTGTATTTTTGGAACAAGTATGGAATTTTCAGCATGGATATCGGTAGCCCAAATTTTGCAGGCCGACCATAGATATCAGGTGTGCGTGGCAGGGGATCGAACCTCGGACCATGTGCATGATCGGTAAGAGTCCTAACCACTGTGCCACCGACGCATATATTTGTTAATCGCTAATTCATTTGAGTACCAGGCTTCTAGAAATTCTTTAGCACTTTCGGTAATACCTCTATTTAAAATTTCTACATTATTCCAGTCAAATTGGTATCCATAATTAGATGCACGCATTGGTATGAAAAAATAAACATCATGCCTTTTTACAGCCAGTTTTCAATCTTGGATTCTGATTCGAAGTGGAAGCCCACTTTGACCGATGTAATGTCTGTTACAGTTCATATAATTTATTTTGTAAATGGCATTAATTCTATATTCTCAACTACAAGAGGAACGGAGGAGGATGTTGAACCGAGCGAGAATCGGGAAGGCGATCGAGAAACACATTCATCAACCAACTGAAACCAATCTGGAAATCTTCGTCACTCAGCCAGCATCAACAACAAAATTCCGTCGGATTTTCAATACAAACGTCAAGTCAGTCATTTCTTCTATACGGATCAGAAACTTGGCGAGCGAGTCACAAAGAATATTTCCAACAGCCTGTTGCAGACCTTCATCAACCAACAACTGTCTTCGCTGGCTCTATACTGAAGGTCAGATGGCCGAGCCGGAAAGAATCACCAACAAGCACCAAACTATGTGCACAAACAAACAAAACAAGAACCAATCGCCAACCAACATATATGCAGGAGAAAGTGGAGATGGATTAGACACTCACTCGCTGAGGAGGCCGCTGGGTGACATCGCGCGTCAGGCCATTGCTCCAGTGGAACCAGGCCGAAAGGGAAGCAGCGAGCGGGACGTCACTGCAAGGGTGACATGGAGAAGATCGTGTGAAGAGGGGGATGAGTTGAAAGAGTATGGACCAAGATGGATGCAGGTAAAAAGTACGGCAGAAGGAAGACAGAAGCAAGTGGAGACGTGCAGGTGAAGCCCTACGTTCTACTATGAACCCAAGGGAACAATAATGATAATAATTCTGTTGGATCTTTCAGTTAGTACAATCTATATTGAATGAAGTGATTGTGCTAACTGGCTTGTGTGCAGTATCTATTTCAAACGGTTTCAATATTCTGTCTGTTGGTACACATGTGAATTAGTGATTAACAAACAAAATAATACAGATCAGATTTACCAACTAATAATAATAAGTAAATCACGTGAGACAAGAGAGTTCAAATTCCAAGTCAATAAAAATTATCAATAGAGATGCAAATCAACTACCAGTCACGAATTTGGTTGCTTGGAGACACAATTATACAATCATTCATGGAGAATTGAAATGAGTTCATTTTATACTGGACCTTGGGCTAAAGATATTATCCAGAAGAACGAGGAATGTTTCGCAACTAAATTAACCAGCTCAGAGAACACAACTCATTTAAAATATATGTAATCAATTCACAGTGCTTCCACCACTTTTATTTATTTACCTTGAATTCAAATTATGTGAAATAACTGAGAAACAGTCATTAATATTGATTTTATTTGCAAATTTTAATAAATACTTTGCAATGGATGATGCATGATTTTTATTCAATTTAATTACATTCGCGTTTTTTTATGTGTCTCAATAATCACCTTGGAACATGTTCTTTCTGGCGACATGGAAACATTCTATTCGTCCAACTTATGTACGTATCACTGAAACTACAGGTGAATGTTTAGATACAGTGTGGAGTAGAGTTCAGAGAGTTCCGTCCAAGTTCTAAAGCTGAAAATATCCGAGGTGTAAATAAAAGTTGTGCAACATAGAATGTGCTCTTGAAAGCTGACCAATGAATGTTTTGAGCTATTGATTGCATAACTTGATGAATTTAGATTGGCAGCTTAATAAGAATAACTTTCTTTGGTAGGTAAACTGCCTTTAAAAAGGGGAACTTCGATGTTTGTTGTGACATACAACGGAGTTTTTAGAATATCCACTCTCCAACAAAACTGTAAGCTCATCCATTAGTGAGTCATTCAAGCCTATTCCACGGGCTCTTCAAAACAGCTATTTGCCTACGGAATGTCTGTACTGAGTGGGAATAAATGGAGATATTATCCATTCCATTTCTGCTTGCAAAATGTATATCGCTTGATTAGTCTGTCGTTCCAACTAATTATTAAAGCATCCAGGATACTCAGTCACGATGGATGCTATGTCTACAAGAGTATAATTCCAATATCGTACATATCCCAAGGGAAGAAACTGTAGTTGCTGTTTACTTGTTGAGACTCAGTAGTAAGGCTGAATTACCACGGGTGGCATATTAAGTAAGTGTCGTACAGCAAGCAAGACTTATCACAACTTATTCTTTGCTAAAAATCTCACCCTACTCTTAAAACGTTTATAGTTACCATAAATGAAGGCGAAGAAATCAGAAAGTCAGAAGGAAAAATGTGATCAATGTGGTTGTTTTCGCAGAAACGTAAGTTAACACTGAATGCCTTCGGAATACGAATGTGGAAATGATATGATGAATGATAGTTAACGCTGATTTCATAAACCCTCGCTCGGGAGTTAGTCCTAGAATACCATCAGCTAGCCGATACACTTATATATTATTATTATTGTTCCCTTGAGTTCTTAGTGGAACATAGGTTTTCAAATGCACGTCTCCACTTGCTTCTGTCTTCCTTCTGCTGTACTTTTCACCTGCATCCATGTTAGTCCGTACTGACTTGGGAAAAGAGCAACCAAATCATTAAATAGTGCAATTCTGTCTCATCTAGCGGATAGCGAACACAGCATCAAAGAAGATGAGTCATTTACAGTTGTGTATCGAGTATCGAACAATCTCCTCAGAGGTACACGATTACGCCTCCTGGCCACAACTGAGGCTTTAGAGATTAATAGAGAGAGACCAGACCTATGTGTACAAAAAAACTTATTCACTCTCTTTGTGTACCCTGGCTCACTATAAGGTCACCAGGATCATAATTTTTCGTGATATCATGTCTTTATTATCCATTTCTCTACCCAGTTTATTTCACCTCATTATTACCCTTACTTTTTTGTCAACCTTTATAATTTTCTACTAAGCCTACCAATTCTGTAGCATCTTATTGCAATTTAAAATATAATGATTCTTTCTGTGAGAATAGTATTCCGTTGGAACGCATTGCCGACATCACGCCACCACAATATGACATTGGATTTCAACCCTAAGTTTACATGACTAATTAGCTGTTCACCTAGACTATTTAAATACGTTAGACAGAATAAATATATCTAACTTTTAGTTTAATCATAATTCTACATTCTATAGTTGACTGGTTTAACAAACTGTGTCGTATCTTTGTTAACCTTGAACTTAGCATATATATATATATATATATATATATATATATATATATATATATATATATATATAAGAAAATTTCACATTAAAATAATACTAATTATAATACACATGCTCATTGTTTTGTTTTTACCACTTTTAGTTGATCAATAAATATATATAACAATGTTTCATTCATATCGATTTGCTTTTAATATTAATATAAGTGTCAACTTGTTATTGGTAGGTATAGTTTGGTTACTATAGTTATAAAAAAGGCGGTATAATTATAATTAATTCTCACTACTGATTGGTCACTTCAATCAGTTTGGTTACCTTATTAATTTCATTCAACCAATAATAATAATAAGAAGAAGAAGAGTGAAATAAGTTCTGACTATCTCTCGCACACATTAATAGACAGCCAACTACGACAGACAACTATATATAACCATAAATTAAAAAAACAAACATAATCAAGTTCAGTTATATACAAGAAAATAATGGCAGACAATAAAACAGATTTTAGTGTTCCAATTCAATCCCCTGAGCATCATCAGCATTCCTACTACTTTATTCAGTCTCATGAGCATAACGGTGGTCATGAAATGTCATTAAAAACAATTGGAAATGAAGGCTTATTTCTTAGTCATTCATATTTGGGAGTATTTCTTATTTGTTTAGGATTATGGTGGTGGATTCAAGCCTTAAGAAAGTGTTATACATCAATGAAACGTAATCATATTGAAGAGTATACTGCTTCTATTACCCATGGGTCAAGTTGTTGCTGTTGTGGTTCTAGTAAAAGTCGTTTAGGTGAAGGCAGTTGTAAGCTGATTATTTCTTTAATTGGTATCATTATTGAATTAATAAGTTTAAAATTTAATCGTCCTCATGAATATGCCTATTTTCCATTTTATACATCAATGTGTCTTGCTAGCTTATTGGATATACTTATCGCGACAATAATAACACCACCGAATGGTATAGATTATATTGCTCATGCCTTACCATTCTTTATATTAACTTATTGTTCACGTGCTCAATCATTTCAACAAACTCTTGTTACACAGACAACACGTCTGCTTATAAGTTATTGGGGATTTTTTACTGGTTCATCAATTATTAGTGAAATGATATTGAATAAATCAGTAATCTGGACATGGATTAAATGTTTTGCTGTCATATTTCAAGGATCATGGATATTCAATACTGGGATAATATTAAATCCAATAAATCGTCAACCATGGGATGAGGATTCACATGAGAATTTAATGTATGCTGTTATCATATTTGTATGGCATATGTTTTTTATTATTATAGCACAATTAATGATATTACTTATTATTGCTAAATGTTATAATGCTTCACCGAATTGGACATTGAATGATTTAACGCCAACAACAACAACAGGTGGCGCTAATAATAAATTCAATAGAATTTCAACCAGTGGACCAAATTCAGTAAATTCACGTGATAATATTGAATATACAAAGTTATTGAATAATTCAGATTATGCCGAAGAATAGTTGAGATAATTCACTATGTTTATACTCACATAAGTGTGTGCGTCCCACTGATTGGACATTGAATGTTGGACATTTTCCCCCCTCTCTGTTTTCAATTTGTTTTATTTGTTTTCTTAAATCATATTTTTCTGATAAGTTATAATTTAACTTTATTTAAGGTGTACTGTTTTCCTGTTACCATGACTACTGGAATGATTGAGCAGTGTAAAACAGAAAATTACGCAAGTAATTATAAATAAAGTTTAAAAGAAATAATGTTAAAAACCAGCAAATATTGAATTTTGTGCTATCATTCCTTTTTTACACCAAATTTAAGTACCAGTCAGTTTTAATAGATGGTTGAAGGCAATTGCGGCAGGAAGTCTTGAACCTAGGTTTTGTGATAGTTGGGACTCACCAGTCAGCAAGGCAAATATACAACACTGAAGATCAATAACGAGCCCGATTAGTTCATTGGTAACATCTCTGACTACAGCACACTAGGTGACACAGTTTCTAATCTCAGAAGGAATATGAGTCTCTTCAATATTGCAGATACGCCCTACTGATTGATGAGTGCTAACAAGCACGAGCAAGTAACTGGTATATGCACGTTGAAGTGGCCCACTGCGACAGCCGAGTACATCAGCCGTATCATTCGCCAACTTGAAAAACGCGCTTGTGAACACTATCCAGTCTGGCTAGTAAAATGACAACGAAAACGTGCATATAGTTCAGTCACAGAGCATCTGGGTGATTCGAAAAAATCAGCGCTTTTCGAAAAGTCCTTCCAAATAATATACAAGATTCGATCAAACCTATCGATGGGAATAAAATGAAGATATTTGGGCATAGCCGAGGCACTAGTCATCCAAAAGATCGAACCCATGTGATGTATCCAAAAGAAAAGCGTTCAACCTTTATCCCTGCCATGGCTATCATAAACAGGTAATTCTTCTGGTAGTGACTATTCTATTGCCTTTCTTATCCAAACTTCGTGTTTATTCATGTTAATTTTAAGTTTTTCTTAATCCCTGTTTACGCTACCATATTTTCATATCTGAACTTTGTGTTTATTTTGACGTTTTTATTATTCCTACATATTTAATCCCTAACTGCATAAACAATTATTCGTCACATTTGTGATGATCCTACTAGATTTTTTTATCCAAACATCCTGTCTATTTTTGTTATTTATACATTTCTACCATCCAATGGCACAATCAATGTCAATCTTCTCAGTAATTATGATGCTACTTTGTTTGAGTTTTATCCGTCCCTCCGCCTGTTTATTATGATATTTTAATTCCTAATTGATATAAAAAATATCAATCAAGCAAGATCTAGTGAATTCATTAGATGTCGGTAGAACTCTTCGTCAGAATACTGTTTTTTTCCCTTCACGTTACAAGTGGAACATAGGGCCTCAAGATAGTGGCTTGAAGTTTCTGTAGCAGTGTTTATTTTACAGGATGGGGTTGCTAGCTTCATACCCAACCTTTCCTCTTTACCAGTATTATTACTTGCTTAGCGAGGTAAAGGAGTTCGTCGGCCGGTGCCCGGACCCCTGACCATGTGCATGTTCCTTGAGCGTCCGAACTGCTTTCCCACCGACACATATATATTATTGTAAACATATTACATCTTTGACTGTTAGGTAAATACACTACAAGGAGTAAGTCATGCAGGAAGAGATAACTGTGAATGTCTTAAAGGTTAAGTACGTTTAGACAGGGGGATGGCAAAGCGTATAAGAGATTAGATTTAAGATTATAATGAATTGCGCTTAACACTTACTTTACACTACTTAAATAAACAATTAATTATCAGACAAAGAACTTGAAAATGTTTGGAATTTCAAACTGAACGAACACAATAAGAACTAAAGTAATTAAGATAATGGTACTGATGAAAGTTACTTTTAAGTGAGTTAGGGAGGATAATCTACAAAAACAGGTTAAATATAAATGTGAAAAACCTGGGCACTGTGGTAGTAAGTAATTCCATATAAGTTTGTTTATTAGATGTATCAAACAGTGAGTGAAACAGTAGAATTTACTGGATTACAAGGTTTCGTACAAAATTTATTGTGGTTCATAATGGTATCAATTGTAATCCCACGACTTTGAAACTTGAGATTTATAGTTTTCTTTGTGCTCTCCTATTTTGTTATAACTGCACTGAATTAAGGTAAAACCCCGTCGCCAATTTGTTATAACTGTAGGGAATTCAAGGAAGACGTTTCACCTTGATCTGTCTGCGCCTGAACTAATCTGCCTATCTGCTTGTCGTACCTTCCGATTTAGTAAAGCACGCAAATATCAAAAGACAAAGGCTGGACTGTGTCTGTGTATTGAAGTGCAACAACGAGAAAGAAAGCCATGGTATTTATACATTTTACAACAATATGGACAGCTAACAGCATTTGAAATAATTGATCTTAATAGCCAATAACAAAGTGCGTGAGAGATGATAATATACCATATATACAAGATTAACAGTAAATACCAAAATGTGTGAGAATGATAACATACCACATATGCAAGATTAAACAGTCAATACCAAAATATGTGGGATCCTATCACCTCTCCCCGTAAAGAGTGTAGGACTTGCTTTTTGGATCTATTTGAAAAGGTTTCGGAGCTCTTCTTTGTCGAGTTGACCTTCGCATGGTACTGGATAGAGCGTGATCTGTGTGTCTGAAACATAACTGTCCTTTTTCATTCGTACGATAATGCAGCAAGAATTTATCCAAAATTTCTTCTGTTGTTCCCTCCCCCTTCGCTTTTGCATAAGCACGCTTAAAGGTGTCGACGAAACGTTCAGTCTGTCCATTCGATTGGGGATGATACGGGGGGCTACGAATATGCTGGATGCCAAACAGTTTGCAGCAACCAAGTTTGTCCTGGAAGACAGAAGCGTGCTTTTGACGACGGCATTGCAAGAGAGATTGATCAGATACATCTCCGGGATTAACGTTGTGTGGTGAAGACGAAACATTAGAGCATACTGAATTTAATGGTACATTAAAGATATGGAGCTTGTCTAACCAGTCAAGACCAAGCAAATCCAAATCATGGTAGTTTGTAACGTAACTTACACCATTGAAGTGATGCTCACCAAACTGAACCTGGCAATTTATCTCACCCACGAGTTTCAGTATATCTCCAGAGACATTCTTGGCGAAATGCTCGGTCGGCAGAATCTGTGGGCAACCAAGTTTGCGCCACGTAGTTCGGGAAATTACGGTGATATCTGATGCCGTATCCAACTGAAGACGAATACGTTTGCCGTTAATATCTAGTGTTATGTACTTACGTTTGCTGGAGAACTCGACTTTGGAAGTTGTATAAATGGTCTGTACTCGAGGAGATTGTTTCGGCTTGAAACGACTACTTCTGTTCCTCACCGAAGGATTTTTCTGCCGTGGACAGTAACCCTCTTTATGTCCAAAACGGTGACAATTACGGCATTTATGCTTCTTGAAAGGACAGAACTTGACAAAGTGCCACGAACCACAGTGCCAGCACACTGAAGGAGGTTTAGCTGAATTCTGAGACTGACGTGCTGTGTGCTTAACGGTGATCGGAGGACTTTTCACTGTGTTAATTGAACCAAGTTCAGACGACTGTCGTTTGCACTCCACCATAGCAGTATCGTGCTTCAAGTTGATTAAACGTAGGCATTCTGCTGTCACCATTTGTAAAGTCATTTTCGGGTCTTGTTCCACAAGTGACAGAAGTCGAGTTCGTATGTCAGTATCTTCTGGGTTCTTCAACCCACAAATAAAAATCAAACACTTGAACTGATCTGATGTCATTTCGTGTGGTTTGAACCTTTCACATTCCTTGTTCACTTTGCCAGCGTAAGTCACATAATCATCGGAAGGCATTTTTGTCAACTGAAAACATTGATACCGAATATTAAACATGGATGACTGTTCACCAAAGATTTGTGATAAAACGGTGACTGTCTCATCGAATGATAACTCACGTGGGTTCTTGGGCAGAATGAAGTTAACATATCTGTTGTGCTCAACAGTACCAAGTTTTCTTAGTAACAATTGGACTTTGGCAGCATCATCAAACATGTAGCATTCAATACGGAAAACATCTTCGTAACGATTGAACCATGCATCAAATACGAGACCAGATATTGGGTCGTAGTTGAACTCACTAATGGAATTTGAGATGCTTTCATATTTGTCAGAATGAGATGTTGATGGAACTTGAATGGACAGCTTCTGAGTGAGAGCTTCGATTAATTTTAGTTGAGCTGCTTCATTCTGAACTTGCTGCTGCTGCAAGATAGGTTTGAGATCGTCCAGAGAGATAGACATTGTAATTGGGTTGTAATTAACACAGTCAAAAATGTTATATAGCTGCGCTGAACAGAATAAAAACTGTCGTCGTATGCTTGCTATAACTGCAATGAATTAAAGTAAACCCCGTCACCAATTTGTTATAACTGCACTGAATTAAGGTAAAACCCCGTCGCCAATTTGTTATAACTGTAGGGAATTCAAGGAAGACGTTTTCACCTTGATCTGTCTGCGCCTGAACTAATCTGCCTATCTGCTTGTCGTACCTTCCGATTTAGTAAAGCACGCAAATATCAAAAGACAAAGGCTGGACTGTGTCTGTGTATTGAAGTGCAACAACGAGAAAGAAAGCCATGGTATTTATACATTTTACAACAATATGGACAGCTAACAGCATTTGAAATAATTGATCTTAATAGCCAATAACAAAGTGCGTGAGAGATGATAATATACCATATATACAAGATTAACAGTAAATACCAAAATGTGTGAGAATGATAACATACCACATATGCAAGATTAAACAGTCAATACCAAAATATGTGGGATCCTATCATATTTGTCGTCATAGGGGTGGTAGAATTTTCCAGATATCCGGCTGGACAGGTGTCGAATCATTCCTATTACATGTAATTACAGTTGACTGGATAAACAAAGCTTCTTTAGTTATCAGTCTACCCCTCCACCCTCCTACACTAGA